AAGATATACATGGATATTTGCCTCGTCTCACCTCGAGGTCGGAGGGGGTCGGTGATGGGGACGACGGTGGGGGTGATGGAGGGGCTCCTTGATTTCTGCAAAAGCAAAAATCGTATAAGTTATCACTAATACATCCCGAATAATTGCTTAAACTAAAAAAATAACAACAAATATGACATGTTCAACTAGTTTTATTAATTCAACTATTTTTTACTAAATATAAACTTACTATAAATAGAAAAAAAACTAGCTCTTTCTAAAAATAAAGTAGTTCAACTAGTTATATTAGTTATCTTACTAAAAATACATTAGTTCTATTAATTCAACTAGTTCAACTAGTTTATTAATTTACTTACTAAACTTGTTCAACTACAACTAAAGTAGTTCAACTACAACTACTATTAATCATACTGCCCTAGTTAACTAGTACCATCACTACTACTAATTAACATCTACTACTACTAAAAATCATTATCTATGAACCCTAAATTAACATCTACTACTACTAAACAACATCTAGTACAAACTAAGCAGAGAGAAAGGGGGTGGGGGCGACGAAGAGGTAGGGGCGGTGAGGGCGGGATCGGGATCGGGAGGCGACGGTGCTGGGTGGGCTCGGGTGGCGGCGGTGAGGTCGAGGGCGGTGGGAGGAGGGCTGCCGGCGGAGGAGGGAGGAGGGGCGGCCGTAGGCAGAGGGAGGAGGGCGCGGTGCGAGGAGGAGGGAGGAGGGCGGGGTGAGAGGAGGAGGGATGGAAGGAGGGATTACCTCGGCGGCGGACGGAAGAAGGCGGCGGCAGTGATGCACGACGACTATTATCGGCGCGGGCGAGAGTGACTGAGAGGGGGAGAGTGAGTGAGAGAGAGGGTCGGCCGCGCGCGTGAGGATAAGGTAGGGTTAGGTGTAGCGCGTTTTGGCAAAACGCGCTACAGCTAATCTGAATAGCAGTAGCGTTGTGCGGTGATGCGCGCTAAGCACTACTGCTAAGTGTAAGTATACAAAAATACGTCAATGCAAAAATACATTGGCCATCAATGATCTTTTTGTGTACAATCTGAATTGTCAATATGAGTCCACTCCGGTAGGAACCGGAGAGGACTCATATTGCGGCCACAAATTCTACACATAGAGTTCAGTGAAGACCAACTGGTTGTGATAGTTTCAGAAGTAACATATTTAAGGTGGTAAACACCCTGTTCATGGAGCGAGGTGGGACTAAACTTGTGGGATGATCTTAGCAGTAGCGGTTTTCGAAAAAGTGCGCTACTGCTAACTTCTATAGCAGTAGCGCGGTTCAATATAGGGCGCTACAACCGCGCTATTGCTATAACTAGCTGAATTGCGAGGTCATGGCAATTAGAGCAGTAGCGCAGTATAGAGTGCACGCGCTACTGCTATTTTTCCTTTTAGCAACGCGTTTTGCTCGCGCTGCTGCTAAATAGCAGTAGCGTCGTATTTTGAGGAGCGATGCTGGTAAGATTCTGTGTATAGGCTTTTCCCTAGTAGTGACTCGACGTCGTGGTATCAGCTGAAGCCTTCTTGACGTCAGCGACTGAGCGGCGCGCGTCGGATTGGACTGGAACGCCTGCTCTTGTATTAGGGAGGCTATGTCTGCTTCCGGCCGCCCTCGCAACATGCAGGTGTGCAATGGGCGATGGGCCCAAACCCCTGCGCCATAGGAGTTAGACCAGCGTGCTGACCTCTCTGTTGTGCCTAGGTGGGGCTGCGACGTGTTGATCTTCTGAGGCCGGGCATAACCCAGAAAGTGTGTCCGGCCAAAAGGGATCGAGCGTTTTGGGTTATGTGGTACACCCCTGTAGGAAAGTTAATCTATTCGAATAGCCGTGATCTTCAGTAATAGAAAGACTTGGAGTTGTACCTTGACCTTATGACAACTAGAACCGGATACTTAATAAAACACACCCAGACAAGTTCCAGAGACATCCCGGTGATCGCTTTTCCCACAGGGCGACGAGGGGAGGATCGCCAGGTAGGATTACGCTATGCGATGCTACTTGGAGGGCATCAATCTACTCTCTTCTACATGCTGCAAGACGGAGGCTGCCAGAAGCGTAGTCTTCGATAGGACTAGCTATCCCCCTCTTATTCTGGCATTCTGCAGTTCAGTCTACCGATATTGCCTCTTTACACATATACCCATGCATATGTAGTGTAGATCCTTGCTTGCGAGTATTTTGGATGAGTACTCACGGTTGCTTTGCTCCCTCTTTCCCCTATTTTTTCCTCTTCTTCTCGGTTGTCGTAACCAGACGTTGGAGCTCAGGAGCCAGACGCCACCGTCGACGACAACTCCTACTGCACTGGAGGTGCCTACTGCTACGTGCAGGCCGCTGACGACGACCAGGAGTAGTTTAGGAGGATCCCAGGCAGGAGGCTTGCGCCTGTTTCGATCTGTACCCCTAGTTTGTGCTAGCCTTCTTAAGACAAACTTGTTTAACTTATGTCCGTACTCAGATATTGTTGCTTGTGCTGACTCGTCTATGATCAAGTACTTGTATTCGAGCCCTCGAGGCCCCTGGCTTGTATTATGATGCTTGTTGACTTATTTTACCACGAGTTAATTAACTAAATTATTTTGTAAAAATACCGCGGCGGTAAACAGGGAGAAGCAATAGGTGCTTTATTATTAGGTTGAAGATAAAGATACGTCCTCTCGTATGGAATGCGAATTGAAATAGTATTGTTTTGCTTTGGGATTCGATCTCGCGCTGTCCTATTTCCATACAAAGACGCCAACCACTACGACAGCTCACTGCTAGTGAATATTAACAGCACGAAATATTTAAAGAATCGAAATGTAGATGCGCTATTTATTGTGCATTAAACAGTAGCGTTTATATTTTCTAATTATTTGAAAACATGTTCACATATTACAGATGAACTGATAAAGTTCATGAGCATGCAGAAAAAGTTTGCATATTCAAAAAAAGTTCATCAAATCAAAAAAGTTCACGTATTAACAAAAAGTTCTCAAATTCAAAAGTTCATCGATTTTCAAACAAAGTTCATCGAATTTGAAAAAAGTTCATAGATTTGAAAAACACATCTGTAATTTCCTTTCGTGCAGGTTTCGTTCATTCGTTTTGAACACAAAATGTAAGACAAATTGTAAAAAAGTTCATCAATTTTGAACGCAAAATTTGAAAAAAGTCTATTGAATTTGAAAAGTTCATCAGATTTGAAAAAAGAAGTTCACCGGATTTGAAAAAAGTTCATCGGATTTAAAAAAAGTTCATTAAACTCGGAAAAAGTTCAACGAATTTGAAAAAAGTACATCAAATTTGAAAAAAGGTCATCAGGTTTGAAAAAAAGTTCACCAAGTTTGAAACAAGTTCTTTGAATTCTAAAAAAAGTTCATCGATTTGCAGAAAAAAATCATGAATAAAAAAGTATCTCAAAGTTGAAAAAGAAAGAAAAATAGGACAGAAATATATTTATATAAACAGAATAAATATCAAAAGATTAAAAACCCGTTCGTAACCACAGTCATCTAAGTTGTCGGGTTGTTGTCGCGTACTGTTCTCCAGTCCCTCGACGTGGGATTGATGCCTGGCTCTCGTAACCTTTTTTGCCTTTTAGAAACAGAAAAGGAGAAAAAATGTGTCAGCCCAATCGCGACAAGGGGTGTGCGCCCGTTAGTGAAATGAGTTGTAGCCGGCGCTAAAGGCGCCGAATAGGATCTGGGCGTGATTTCCTATTCAGCGCTTGCTACATCTCCCTCACTAGTCCTAACTGGGCTTGGCCGCATCTAGAGGGTGGCCGTTGGCCCACTAGTGCTCCGGAGTGGCCGATTGAAAAATGAAATATGTTCCCTCAAAAAAAAATGTTGTCCCCCTAATTTGTAAATCAAAATAGTTTGCCTCTTTTAACTCATATTAAGAAATATGAACAGGTGTGCATAGAAAAAAGAAAAAGTAAGTGCAAAGCACCCATGTGAATATGTGTGAACACATTTAGTTCGAGTTTTCGAATTTTTAAAAAATCATAACTTTCAAACGGCACATTGAAATTAAGATATGTTTTCACCCTTAGAATCCCCGCGGTCGAAACTAAATCCTGCACGGGTATGTTTCAATGAATTTTGTGTGTGTGCAATTTAGTCCCCGTTTTGTGCAACTGTTTAGCAGTCGATGTGCAAATACCTGACAGTGGATGTGCACCTTGCCGCCTACCGCGTGGACATGCAGTTTTTATTGATGTCACCTCCACCCCCAAACTACCCTTCTCCAGGGCTACCTAGTAATTAATGTGCAACATTTTCCCTGCCATGGGTGTGCTTTCACTATTTGCTACCTCGGTCAACTTCCTAGCAGTGAATGTGCAACTTTGGATGCTACCCCAGGCAACTGTCTAACAATGATGTGCAACTTTCTCCCTTAGCCACGTAGATGTGTAGTTTTCTCATATGGCACCTCATCTGAACCATGTCGATGTGTAGTTTTCACCATCCAACTATCCACCTCCCATGTTCCAAGCAGGCGAACATTTCAACTTATGTGGCACGTAATGAATCCCTAAACTCCAGTTTTTATGCAATTAGGTGTCCTCAGATGCATTCTTTTCATGGTCGTGGCATCCTAGTGATGCATTAGTTTTAACCGAGGGCGAGGTTTCACTATCATCAAATAACAAAACAATAGTATACGACGTTTAAGCATCCATGTGCAATGAAAGAAAAAGACCCTTATGATTTTGAACTGTCACCTACACGGCTCAAGACGAAATCGTGTGAAAGTAAAAGCAAAAGCAAGACATGGAAGTACTGCAACAGCACCAAGTATTCAGGATTTTCCACATACTAGCAAAAACAATTTCCCTTTATTGCTCATATCCAATACATCCAACCGTCAAATACATATATAATATGGTGATGAATGCTAGCCAAGAAAAAATATACATGGTAAGAAGGTTCAGAAAGAAACATTTGTGCCTAAACAAGTTTTGCACGCAAGTAGCTTAATGTAGTATCTAAATTCCTTTGTCACCTAGCATAGTAAGAACTTCCTGGATTTATGTGTTGGCTCTCATCTTCTCCCATATAATAGTCAGATTCTATTACCTGGACACTAGCAGATTCTCCATGCGTCTCCACGCCCAGCCGTACCCATGGATACATTGGAAGCTTTCTCAGTCTAGCGAGCTCATCAGCAACCTCTTTCATGGAGGGCCTGTTGTCACCACACAGGTCTAAGCATTTGTTAGCTAGGTTCGCAAGCCCTTTCAACAACTCCATGCTCGCTTGTGCTTTTACTTGGCTAGCCAACACTGAATCAAGATTGTTCTCCTTCATAGCAGATAGGAAAGTTGATGATAAGATCTTCTGCATATTAGGCCCTTCGAGCTTCATTGGCAACTGCCCGGTAATGATCTCCAAAAGAATTACTCCAAAGCTATACACATCGCTTTTAGATGTTAGCTGGCATGTTTGCAGGTATTCGGGATCAAGGTATCCACAGGTACCTTGAATTATTGTGACAAATTGCTCTTTGTCGGATGGGGCTAGTATCGAGGCTCCAAAGTCAGACACCTTGGCCATGTGGTTCTCATCAAGAAGAATATTGGAAGTTTTAACGTCACCATGAATAATCGGGGGAGATGCATAGGAGTGTAGGAAGCTCAATCCTTCCGCTGCTTCATAAGAAATCCTTAAGAGATTGCTGAAGGAGATTTGCGATGCTTGGTACTTGCCATGAATATGCTCGAAAAGTGTGCCATTTAGAACAAGCTCATATACTAGAATTGGAACTTCCACCTCAAGGCAACAACCCAGGAGTTTAACAACGTTCTTGTGATTTATTTGGGACAAAATGAGCAACTCTTGGCCAAATTCCTTCTTTTGCCTTTCATTAACTAATGCACATCTTTTTATTGCAACCGGCATGTTGTTCTTCACTATCCCTTTATAGACTGTTCCATGACCTCCTTTTCCAAGTATTTTGGTTCTATCAAAGTTGTTGGTGGCATGTATGAGTTCAGCCTCTGAAAATATCGTGAAAGCAAGACCTTTCTGAGATTTCATCCTATCAAACAAAACCAACCCTCCATGTTGGCGGAAATACTCCTGCTTAACCTTTTCCAATTTTCTCTTTTGGATCATCATTTGTCCCCAAAAGATAATAATCATGGTGATAACAATGGACCCAAATAATCCGATTATAACTCCTGCATAATGAGATAGGATGAACAATTATTTCAGAGAGAGAGATAGAGAGAGAGAGAGAGAGAGTAAAACATTATTGGTGTTATTTTGGTCAACAGAAAACATATTATTAGTTTTACAATAACTATTTTGTTTTTTATATCTAACATGAATGGGATACAAATATTTATGGTTTTTGACTGGAATATCTTATGCCTAGGCAAAACAGTCCAATGTCAGAAAAACACCAAATGGCTAGCAACCGAATATTTCATAAAAGCAATCTCAATTGACTTGAAGGTCGAGGGATAGCAAAATGATCTCATTTCTATTTCTGTTACCTAGTATCAAGCCAATATTTGGGTTGCAAGTATTGCCTTCCTGTTTTGTTCCTACTCGGCAAGAACACCGGTATCCTCCAATGGTATTGTGGCAAGTGCCTCCCGAAGGACAAGGGTTGTTGTTACTATATTCGTCAACATCTGCGGTAAGATGAACAAAGATAAGTATTAGAATTTTGAACATAGTGGTAACTGTTTTACATATGTTCAGAGTGAACTGCACATTCAATACGAAGATAGCCATCCGTTCCTTTTTGTAATTAGTATTACATTTTTTTTCAAAAGTGAAACTTTTATATCTTTTATAAAGTTCATAGAAAACCATAAATAAGTAAATACTAAATAAATGAAAAAGTTATATATGTTTCATGATACATCTAATAATACTGATTTGTATTGTAAACTAGGTCAAAGACAGGGAAGTTTGACATGAATAAATCAATACATCTTTGTAACAAAAAATAGCAAGTAATTAGTTGGATTAGTACCTTTGCATCCACCCTGAAGATAAGGGTTGCCCTCGTATCCCTGGGAGCAGTTGCATGTGTACCCGTAATCATTGACAGAATCCACGCAGACACTATTGCTGCTGAGGCATGCATACGTCGTATTCCGTTGTGCAGCATCACATGAGTGCACATCTCTTATAGCCCAATCAACCACCATTGGTACCCACCCATGGTACGTGTCATTGAACGTGGTGTTGCCAATGTACATACTGTCGAAGTTGAAAGCCGCAGCCTCCATGAGCACCGCGTAGCTGCACCGGTTGAACTCCCAGATCCGGCTCGTGTTGACGGAGCTCGAGAAGTTTGTGTCGTAGTAGTACATCCTCTTGGGTATCATGGTCTGGGAGCAGCCCATGCCGGCACAGGACCCGTCCACAAGGTCCGACAGGTCACGACATGTGGCGACGGCCATCCCCTGGTAGCCCGTGCCATCCGGATCGGACATGGCGGCGAGTGCGCTACACCCAATGACCGTGAACCTGTTCTGGACGTCCGAGAGCCGGTAGACGGAGGAAGGCCCTCCGTTCGCGCTCTCATGATAGCCAAAATGCTCCATGCTCCTGGTGGTGTTGTTGTAGCAGGAAGCCTCGATGTTGTTGAGTACCCTGGCAGTGCTGTGGGTTAGGGAGATGTCCAGTACCTCAAAGATCCCCCTAAATGGCTTGAGGATGCCATCTCTAAGCTCGCAACTGAGGTCGAAGACGTCCGCCATGAGAGAGCAGTTGGGGTCGATGCCGAATGGGTACGGTATCTCAACCTTGCCGCACCTCCTTCGGCACTGTGAGCTAGGAACCGCAGCTCCAGAGGCATAATGTGCGCCAAGCAGTATGAGGCCAAGGCCAAGCTGCAGGAACACGTGCATATTCTTCGACTGGATATCTACAACAAAGTAAATGTCTCTGTCAACGAAATACAAGAAACCTTCGATTCAGAGACAAGATTATTCGGTACCATAAAGAAATGGAGACTATGCGCATACTACATACTATTCATACTCGCTCCGTCCCAAAATTCTTGTCTTAAATTTGTCTAAATATGAATGTATCAAGTCACGTTTTAGTATTAGGTACATCCATATCTAGATAAATCTAAGACAAGAATTTTGGGACGGAGGGAGTATATGCCACGTAGCTGGTCCAGTAAGGCCCCGTTTAGAACAAAGGAAAAAACATAGGAATTTTGGAAGATAAGATCCCTATAGGAATTTTCCTTTCACATCGTCTGACAAAGGAATTAGCATGCCACGTTTCTTGGAAAAACTCTACGGAATGGGCTATTCATCAGGAATTTTGGAGGAAACCAAACATGAACCTCATATTTTCTTCTATTAGCACATATGCCCGTGCGTTGAAACGGAAGAGATTTTTTTGCAAGAAGCATCCGGAGAGATAATTGATGTCCATCAAAACGGTCTCCAGAACAGTGGGGCGGCAGAGTGGAGATATGTGATGTTCTCACTGGTCATATTTGGCTCGCGAGATCTTTATAGTAGTGGGGTTGATCGGAGTGGCGGCCACTACCAACTCGTGCATTTTTTTTACTTCAGGTCTGCCTCCTTGTTGAGGTTGTGGTGACCTCCTATTTTTTTATAAAAAATGCAAGCATTTTTTTAAATATCGTTAATTTCTGGAAAAAGGCAAACAAAACTTCAAATAGTAAGATTTTTTGAAATTCACAAGCATTTTTTTGAAAACTGGAAATTTCTAAGGCGGAGAAACTGGCATTTTTTGAATTTGTGAACAGTTTTAAAAAATGGAAACTTGTTTTGAACATTCAAAACCATTTTAAATAATGTGTTTTTAATCACAAACATTGTTTTGAATTTGTGAACATTTCAGCAAACAGGAATATTTTTCGAATTATTATTATTTTAAAAAATGCAAGTAATTTTAAAAAAAAATTGAAAAACAATTTTATAATGGTTTTTTTAAAATTCGAACATTTTTTGATTTCGAACAAATTTGGAACAGTAATAAAATTTAAAAGTTCCGAATATTTTTGAAAAGGGAACAAATTCGGAAATTCTGAAGATTTAACGAAAATGTGTACAAAAAACGAAATTCTTAAAAAGTAAAAAACATATGGGAAAAATTTAAAAATAACTTCAAAGGGGAAAAAGAAAATGGGCCGGTCCAACGGTGTGCGACTGATGCGAAGCTCCTACTATATGGTTCTCCGTGCGACAAATAAGGTTTCCCAGCTGCGTGGGCAGGATATAAATGGGTGGCTTCTCTGGGCCTTATCGCGTGCAGACCCATGTACCGAATTCTGGACAATTTTTTTTCATTTCTAGCAGATGGACCACAAAAAATTAGTACCACCTCGGATATTAAAAAACTAGCACATATGCTCGTGCGTTGCAACGGAAGAGATTTTTTTTGCAAGAAGCATCCGGAGAGATAATTGATGTCCATCAAAACAGTCTCCAGAACAGTGGGGCGAGACAGTGGAGATATGTGGTGTTCTCACTGGGCATGTTTGGCTCGCGAGATCTTTATAGTAGTGGGGTTGATCGGAGTGGCGGCCACTAGCCAACTCATACCTTTTTTTACTTCAGGTCCGCCTCCTTGTTGAGGTTGTGGTGACCCCCTATTTTTTTATAAAAAATGCAAGCATTTTTTCTAAAAAAAATCTTTAGTTTCTGAAAAAAGGCAAACAAAACATGAAATAGTAAGTTTTTTGAAATTCACAAGCATTTTTTTGAAAATGGAAATTATTAAGGTGGAGAAACTGGCATTTTTTGAATTTGTGAACAATTTTTAAAAATGGAAACTTGTCCTGAACATTCAAAACCATTTTCAATAATGTTTTTTAATCACAAACATTGTTTTGAATTTGTGAACATTTCAGAAAACAGGAATATTTTTCGAATTTCTATTATTTTAAAAAATGCAAAAAAAATTAGAAAAAATGACAATCCATTTTTTAATGGTTTTTTTAAATTCGAACATTTTTTTAATTTCGAACAAATTTGGAACAGGAATAATATTTAAAAGTTCCGAATATTTTTGAAAAGGGAACAAATTCGGAAACTCTGAAGATTTAACGAAAATGTGTACAAAAAACGAAATTCTGAAAAAATAAAAAAATTATGTTAAAAATTAAAAAATAACTTCAAAGGGGAAAAATACAAAGAAATGTAGAATAAGAACACATAGAAATAGAGAATGGACCGGTCCAACGGTGTGCGACTTATGCGAAGCTCCAACTATATGCTGATCCGTGCGACAAATAAGATTTCCCAGCTGCGTGGGCAGGACATAAATGGGTGGCTTCTCTGGGCCTTAGCGCGTGCAGGCCCATGTACGAAATTCTGGACAATTTTTTTCATTTTTAGTAGATGGACCACAAAAAATTAGTACCACCTCGGATCTTAAAAAAAATTATCGGTGGTGAATGGATGAAAAAATTCAAGAAACGTACCTTGCTTTATTAGTAGGTATAGATATAGATATAGATGTAGATTTGTGTCTAAATTTCATGTTTCCTGCAAGATATCATGTGGTATCTCGGTAGTTTTCCCGTTGTCTAAATTTCATGTTTCCTGCTAGATTTCAGGATGCATGGCATCTCAATTCCTGGATTTTCTCTATTTCTTACATTTTCAGGTTAGCTGTTCCAAACGGGGCCTAAGATTCTTACATGATCACAAACGCTCATCAAAAAAAGGCAATTGATCTCAACACAAGCATAGCTAGAACGAGTAAGCATTTAGCACTCACTGAGAGATCTCAAGATAGGCGTGGGAGAAGACAATTTTTGATAGCTATTGCGTATGGAAGACAACTTACGGAAAACATATTACGACATAAGGCGCACCTGATATATCTCGGAGAAGTTAGCCGTGTGTATCTTGAAGGATTTATTCCAGTGCTCAAGGGACCGTGTTTTCAAAGACACCGATAGCTTCTGGTCGTATACAAACTCTGTAGAGGTCGATCTTATACTAGCGCCAGTGGTAGGTCGATCGGGACTAGTCAAAAGTCAACAGACAGCAACTTGCATGGACAAATGGCAGACTTTCTGCTTCCCTCTAAAAGTATAAGTGGAGCCGTGCGGTCAAGCTAATTTCCAAAAAAGGGACATCTCTGAATATTCCCAATATAGTTTCCCACTGTATGTGGACGTCCATAGCCTGTATTCACCATACAAAACTATGAGGTCCATCTCTATCTGATCATCGTTCTCAAGTCCTACAACTGGCGCCTTATGTTCGCCCTCTGCCAAATAAAATGAATAATTCTAATGATAGGTAGAAGGAATAAATATATTGCTTCTATTTTGCTTACAGTTTGATCGCTGTGGTAAGTCGAGTATTGACTTCAATATTGTTGACTCATCTATGTTAGGTAACTAGGCACTGGAACGACGTTCAAATAATTTGCGGGTCAAGATGCATGCATGCAGGTGCAGGAATATTCACACCCAAAGGGGGGCGCTTGTCTTGCCTCTAGAAATTGGCATGCATCCGTTATCAACTGGATAAGCAGCAGCAAAGAAATTAAACCACGGGGAGTGTAAGCATGACGACTTGATGATAGAGATTGAAGTAGGTAATTCAAGCTGAGCCATATATAGCCTGCTGCGCTCGATTTGTTAATTAAAAGCTCGTTAAGATAGTGAGTTACTTTGGCTCAATTCTTCAAGATAACGAGAGCTCATATTAATACTTAGCTCAACTCGTGTAACACATGACATAAGTTCATTTAGCTCGTTATCATATTATCATATGAAAAGTAAAGCGAGTCCATGTAATTAAAAGTCCATTAAGATAGTGAGTTACTTTGGCTCGACTCTTTAAGATACGTATACAACAATAAAAATGATTACTTGAGCATGTAAGATGTCCGTGTTGGGCAAGTTCGTTCAGATTGTGGACCCTCTTAGAGGTGATGGTGCATGCATGTGGTGGAGCGGGACCGGGTTGTACAAAGGGCTGCCGCTACGCCAGCTCGGGTTGGTGCAAAGGGGTGCACCCTCTTAGATGTTGGGGCCGTCGAGGGTGCTGACCACCGTGGTGTGTACTGTAGCGGTTGTGCGACGTGCGCCACTCCATGCCATGACGACCTGTGGATACATCGATTACTTCCGTGGACTCGACGGTGATGATGAGAGCCTTGGCACGACTGCACAGGCTTGTGGTGGTGCACGTGTCTACGAGGTGGTGCCTGTGGTGGAAGACCATGTGGACAAGGATGGTGATCGTTGGGATGGAGGCAGTTGAGGATTTCCACAAGGGCGTCCATGGCGAGGATATTGGTACAATCGTCCATGGAAGAAGCCTTCATGTTGCCGCATTGATCCTGGATCGTTGCTACTTGATGCGTGGTCCAAAATCGGTCTTGGTGTGTTTTAATAACTGGTTGTGGACAAACATATGTGCCCTTGTGTTGTCCCCTAGGGCGACTTCGGTAGCGACCCCACCGCCAGTCTCAATCCATATCCCCTTGCTACCGCCAGGGCAAATCCCCGGGTGCTGGTCGGTTGCGGCGGGGGCTTGCGGTTTGCCTGGAACCGGCGCCCCTCCCTCTCTCCTCTCGATGCGCTTCGGCCTGACTTGCACCGCTACCACCGGAATCTGGTCTACTCGCTATTCCTCCTCATGCCTCGGCCCCAGTTCCGGGTACGCTGGCAGTAGTGAGCCTCCCGGCTACCCCACTGGTGGCTAGCAAACGGATTTGATGTTCCTCGCCCCAGATCTTGTGGATGTCAATGCCTTTGTTGCCCAATGGCGAGGTTTCCTCATGATCTGCCATGGATATGCTTCCCTTGCGACATGAGCACCGCCTATATGGGGGCATGGTGGCTTGGGTCGACCGAAGCGGCTTGCCAGTGATGGCAACATGTAGTGTGGGCTGGCAG